TATGGGATAATGAATGCTTGTTGTTGTAAGTCACTACATTTTTGTTAATTTGTCATGCAGCAATAGGAAACTAATACAGAGAGGTCGGTGGGGGCAGTGTCAGGGAACATAAAGGGGGAAAGAAGACTAAATTTAGATTGGCTTTCATAAAAGTGTGATCCTCACCTCTTCCTTTATTCCTTTCTACCCTATACAGTATTTGTATTTTAGGCTGCAGAACATGTTGGGCCACATCTGAGTGGACTTGGGAGAAGCCTTGAAACTCAACCGAGAAGGAAGTTGGGATCAAGAGTAGGTAGAAAGATGGGAGAAAAAGCAGAGGAAAGCTTAGGGTCTGAGCTGAGGGCTGGTGTGAGCGGAGACTATTGGGAAGGACATGTTGTAGGGAATAACCACTGTGCTGCCTGTCGGGTCAGTATTTGCCACCACACTTTGCGCTCACCAACGCCTTTGTCGATAATTCACAAACTGATGTGTAGCCAACATTTTACAGCAGATCTTCAAATATTGTTGAAGAAATAATTATCCATGCAAATCACATATCATCATGTAAGACATCCAAAGGCTAAGAACAAGGGAGTGTATTTGAGTCTATGTATGTGTGTATGTGTGTGTGTTTTCATTTTTAAGGAGGCATTTAGTTGTCTTCCCACCTAGGACGTAGGGCCAAGAAAATGGATTTGGATAAGTCAAGCTTAGGGTCTAATGAAGGAAAGTCTTTATATGCAACTGTCTCTATTACATCTATCATTTAAATTTCTTCAGTAGGGTCTATATGAAATGAGTGTCATGTGTACTAACCAATCAGTTAGTTCCTTTCTTCAAAATCCAGGCAAATCCTTAGCTTATGTGATCTGTTCCTCAGAAGTCTATAATTTCCCCTCCCAGAACTTACTGCAATCTGTCATTATTCTGTTTATTTTTCACTTTTTTATCTGCTTGCCCACTAGAACTGCACTGTACAATATGGTAGACAATAGCCACATGTGAGAGTTTAAATTCAGTTAATTCATTAAAATGTGATTCCTTAGTCATACTGGCCACATAGGAAATACTCAGCAGCCACATATGACTAATTGCCATCATATTGAGTATCACAGATTTAGACACTTTCCATTATTGCAGAGAGTTCTATTGAACAGTGCTGAACACCACACATTTAGTCTTCATTATTCATGGTCCTGATATGCATGAATTTCAGTTACCATGATTTTCTTAATCACCAGTCCCCAGCAACTTGGTTTAAATTTCAGTTACCGTGATACATTAACTGAATTGCATAAAGCACAAATGTTGCCATTAGCTCTTCAATCCAAAAATCACTACATAAATAAAAGGTGTGCCTGATGGTCAGCAACCAATTGCATTACTTCTTTCCAAGTCTGCCACTGATTGGTCTGTTCTTCAGCTCATGCACACACAGCAAAGCAAGTAGTTGTGCTGCCCCCTTTTGTTTTCCCCCATATGATGGGGCCATGTAACATATAATAAAACTGGAGCATTAATAGAATTGGCCAACAAGGATGAAAATGCAGCAAAGAAACAAAAAAAATGCTAACACTGGAAGTGAAATTAAAATAAGACATCAATGGAGTCATCAAAGAAGTAGCTGACAGTGGGAATGACATTGCCCTCATTTGAGACTGCAGTTGTGTCACCAGAGATGCAGTGAAGGCACATGTATCAACATAAATACAGGGAGAGGTTTTGAGGAAAAGGATAAAGCTGTCTCAGAGAAAGTGACGGTGGGGGAAAAAAAAAGAACACTTCACATTAAAGGAACTCTGGGAGGTATTTCACAATAATAAAAACACAAATGATAAAATATTGGAAGCTTGGACAATTTGCCAAAAGCATAGAAGATGTTTATATCATTATGTTATATGATGAATAAAAGAAGGCAAGCACTGTTCAAATGCCTCTTGATATCTTCTTACAAAAAAAGATCCAGTTTAATTCTCAGGGGTTCTAATGGTTTAAATTACTTTGTACTAAATAGAATATCAAATTTACCACACATTTCATGTCCCTATACATCAATAACGGACAGTAAGAGGGTATTTAAGTTTTGAAAAAATAGTTGTAGGTCATGGAAGAAGTATAATTTTTCTCATTGATTGCAGAGTTTCTGCTTGCATGGTCACATTTCCAGTCCTGCACCACCATGCAGAGGAAGGCTACCCGTAATGCTAACTCTGAACCTCTACTCTCTTCTCTCTTGAGGAATGACAAAGGTTTGTCAGTTCTAGAATGGCCACTCCATCTTTGGTAGGGACCATGTCAGTCATATTCACCATGGTACTCTAGCACCTAGGGCAGTGTCTGCCTAGATTAGGAAGTTAATAATAGCTGCTGAATGAAGAGTGAAAAGGACACTCCTTCCTGTTTCCTTTAAGTGGGAGACAGGAAGGAGTCATTGATCATTAATGAAAAAGCAAGATAGGCAATGGAAACTAATCAAAATGAAAACAGCAGAAATAATACATGGTTGGAGGTTACCAAGACAGCTCAATTCCACCAATCCCACATACATCCACTACGAAAGTGAATTCTGCCTATGGTAGTGAATGATGCCACAAATGGCACAGAATTTTGGTCCAGACTTTAGAGTAGAAAATGCAGATTAACACAGAGAATGAAAAAGTAACCCGAAACAAAAACCCCAAAACCCAGTGCTCTGAAATTAATGTGTTACAGAAAATTGAGATGCAGTGATAAATATAGACAATTTCGCGGAAGGCAGCGGGTTAATTTGAAGTTGAATGGTGCAGTAAGTTACTTTGGATATTTGATTTTCTCTCTTTCTGCGATATAGGTTTTAAGCCATTCCATTATTTTGTGTAGCAACAAATATTGGATAAAGACAGATTGCTCTTCTGTGGATTTCCTATGTATAGACTTCGAAATTAAAAAGTGAGATGCATAGGCCAGGGTGTAGGTGGAATAAATAAAAAGTTCCTAACTTAATGATATTCAAATTGTTATGAATAAAAATTCAGTTCAGGCTGGCCACAGTGGCTCACGCCTGTAATCCCAGCACTTTGAGAGGCCAAGACAGGCGGATTACGAGGTCAGGAGATCAAGACCAGCCTAGCCAACATGGCAAAACCCTGTCTCTACTAAAAATACAAAATTAGCCGGGTGTGGTGGTGCATGCCTGTAGGCCCAGCTACTCAGGGGGCTGAGGCAGGAGAATCGCTAGAACCCGGGAGGTGGAGGTTGTAGTGAGTTGAGTTTACGCCACTGCACTCCAGCCTGGGAGACGGAGTGAGAGTCAGTCTCAAAACCAAATAAAGCAAAACAAAAAAATTCATTTCAAAAGGTGAGATTGTTAGTCTTTGATCTGTCAAAGCTGAGAAGCTATTCCTGCAATCTGACTTTAAAAGAAGATTTGGGACGTTTCATACAAATTTGTTTTTCATAGTTTTTGCATTGGTAGAGGGGGAGTTAGTACTGAAATCTATAAAGCCAAACTGATAGCTAGTCTCACACACCCACAGGCATGTGTGTGTGCATGCGTGCATGCACCCACCACCCGCCACCCCCCACCCTACCATGCTATCTATACAAATCAAAATTGACCATTGTCAAAGCAAAGACAAAATCAGGTTAGAGACAATGTAATATTCATTTCTATTTTTTGTCTTTTTTTTACTTTTTGTTTTTGGTTTTGTTTTTGGTTTTGTTTTGTTTTTTTTTGAAATGAGGTCTGTGTTGCCCAGACTGATCTCAAACTCCCAGGCTAAAGCAATCCCTCTGCCTCAACCTCCCAAGTACCTGGGATTACAGGCACATACCACTGTACCCTGCAATATTAATGTACTTTGATCCCCAGGAAGGTTTCTAAATGTTTGGAAGAGATAAGGAATAACTTGAACATAGGTGATTTGTTTTCAATTTCAAAAACCGCATAATTCTGAGGGGTGATAACCAGTCAAAAGGAAAAAACAGCCCCGCCTCCACTGCCAAATCAAGGATAATCCAGGCAGGATAAATTAGAGCACTGTCCTGAGTCACTCGGAAGTAACATTCAGAGAGTTTAATAATAGGCATTTAGAAATATATAAAAGCAGAACACAAACAAATGAAGATTGTCTTTCCTAAGATAAATGAAAGATAAATTTTATAGCCAAAGGAATTGAGCCATTGTAGTGTTGCTATAGCTAGTGATTTCAGGCTTTCTTTTTGGAAAATAATTTGTGATTAGACTCATTTCTGCTGACCTTAAGGTTAGTGGGATCTGTGTTAATATCTGAGCAGTTACATTCATTTTTGGATTTTTTTTTCTCAAAGCTAATGCTATGTGGTTGTTGATCTGAGCACTGTCTTTCCATATCAGTCATATCCCTTCTGAGCAATCCACTTAGGTGAAATATGCTGGCACTGACACTCAGGTACAAGGACAACTGTGGTCAGAACAACTCCCTGAGCCAAAAGCAAAGCTCATAAACAAATAAAATACTAATAACCTTATAATACAGTGAAAGATGAAACAAAGAAGCCCTACATTGTGGACAATGGTTTCTTTGGAGGTTGGGTTCATAGGTGAGTTTCACTTTCTCCATTTATTTCTGTAATGTTTATTTGATAATACTGAGGAACTCCCAACTTTTAAAATGCCAAACCGTTGTTGTGGTTATGTTTAAAAGTTCTCACAGGATATTCTTACTGAAATATTCATGGGCTAAGCACTATGATGCCTGGGACTTGCTTCTAAATTATACAGTGTGAGAGGAGGTGATACAGAAAAGAAGACTAGACATGAATCGGTACCTGATGGGTCCACATGGATTCATATGATTGTGTCTACTTTTGTTTGAACGATTTCTGATAAAAGAGTAATAAAAATGGTAGGAGATCAACTTGGAAAAGTAGACTGGGGACTAAATGTAAAGAATTGTGAGTGTAAGGAAGGTTTATTCTCTAGTTCAGCGCCCTCCAGACTTCAGTGAATGCAACCCTGCCTGCAATATTGTTGCATGCATGCACCAGGCATATGCTTATTTATTCATTCATTTATTTATTTATTTAAAATTATGTACATGTACCATTGTACTATTATGCCATTATAAAACATACACAAACATAAAAAAGCTGGATAAAAATAAGCACAGGTATTGTTCTAATATGTTCTTCCTATACTCTATGGACCTGGACCCCAGTTAGGAGCCCCATGCTTAGTGAATGCGGGGGCCCCATGAGGTTTTCTGAATAGCAAAGAGTTTATTTATAAGAAACAGAAACTTACTGGCGCAGTAATGGGAGGTTGATTAGAAAGACCCAGAGCTACTTCCCTGAGGCTTCTCAAAGAACTCGTAATGGACTGGGAAGTTGTTCTAACTAGATATGAGACTTGAACAAGGATGGTCACTTCCTTGTACACTTCTTTTACATATATGCAATCCACATAATGTGTTCTGCACACAGTCAGGATACAATATGCATACAAAACAAACATTCCCCCACATATTTTGGGCAATATATTGAACACAACGATTATGGTGATAATAGCTAACATTAATTGAATACTTACTCTCTGCCAGGTATTGTGATAAGAACTTTACATACACATTTTTACTCAAAACTCATGAAAACCCTATGAAATCGATCTTATAACTGATTTTCATTTTATTATGAGGAAATTGAGACGTAGAAAAAGTAGCTTTCCCAACATGAAAGGGCTAGAAAATGGCAGAGTCAAAATTTAAATCAAGATGTTTCTGACCCCAAACTTCATATCCATAACAATGCAACCATATTGCCTCCAGAGAGAATAAAGGATAGTGTCCAAACCAGCAGACTGTTGTGATGATTAAATGAGATAATATAGTTAATATGCTTAGCACACTGTCTGACATAGGGCACACATCCTATTAATAGGTTAGGATTTTAGTACACAGAATGATATTTACTAAGATTTTCCACAGTAAACACCACTAATATCTCTCAATATCAAAACACCAATATTTATAATTGTAATAATGTTTTATTATTTAGTTAAACATTATTTATAATAACACACCCTAAACTCCTTTCCTTTGCTGCCACCCATAACCACGTGTGGGTTTTGTTGTTGAGTCTCTGTGGAATGGTTGACTAGAGAGAAATTGCAATTGTGGACTATGTTAGGCCTCCTTCTTAGTAGGCTATAAAAGTAGAAATATTTGCATCTGGTGTACTCCCATCATGATCTTAAGGAGCCACCTATCTATGTAGGAGTGCATGTAACTTGAGCACTGAATGACCCAGGAAATACATATATACATGTCGATTTTATTTTATGACTGCAGGGTACTTTTAGAGACATGACAGACCTGGAAACTTCTTTGCATTCCATTGGTTTCATTTGAACTGGTCAAATATACCACTTCCACTTCTTTTTTCCAGATTTCATATTTTTATTAGCCAATCCAGATTACGTATTTAATATTTACTATTTATTTACTCATGGCTCCCATGATTACAGTAGCCATCTCTCCCTGATTTTCTGGAACATCCAAGATTTGAGATTTTGTCCCAGTACTAGGCTATAATTCCAAATTTGACTGGCAGCCTTAGCCCCTGTACAGGTGGTGATGCATGAAGCCCTATGCTGAGAGCCGTGATCTTAGATGAGACTCATAGGTGCTGGTGTATGGTCTGGTCTACACTGCTGAATCTGTACTTAATTTTGATGATCATTAAATGTTCCTTTTTGTAAGTTTGCAAATACTTTACTAAATGTCCCACCACTCTAAAGGGAATTTTAAGTTTCATAGTTGAGCTGGGGTGAGGGGAAGATAATGTCTTTGGTTTGGAGATTTTTGTCATTTAGTCAAAGCAGATCTCTCCATCAATTAATTTTGGTATTATTCCATATGTTTTATGTAATGAGATATTATATAACTCTAGGTGTTACCTAGGAAACTGCCCATCATTCCCTCTGTTCTTCTCCCTGGGAAGTTTTTTAAATGCTGGAAACACTGTGAAGAGCATTTGTGCTGACACAGTAGAATACGCCCCACCCATTTGTAGCCCAAATAGCAAAAACTCAAATTAAATATGTGGGATTCTTGGAAGAAAGCATCCAGTAACCAAATACTATGAGCAAAAAATTAATTTATTACAGATATATTCTCTAGTAATTAATAGCTTCTTGAATTTTAAATGTCTTTTTGCTATTTCCAATGCTTAAAAATCATAATTTTAAATAAGTACTGTTTTATATACATTGTGATTTCTTTTCTCTTTTTTTGTGTTTTACTTGTAAATAGGAATGATATGGTCTCCAAGTATCTACTTGGAAAGAAAGGGGATAGGATTCATTGTTTTGCTCTGACATGGTGGAATTTAAAATTTCACATCGTGTATGTGGGGTTTTAAACTATATGAAAAATAGCCAAATGTCATCACTTTCTTGGATATTTCTTTTACGTGTATATATATGTATAATATAAACAGAATACATCTGATTAGTACATTTCAACATTTCATCAATGTGACTTTTATCTCCTATTTTATATAAAATAACAAATATACAGAGAAGAAAGGAGACATCTGTTCATCATACACACAAAGTAAATAAAAGTTCATGTATGGCTTTGCAAAGGTAGATTATGACGTGACTTCCATATTTATTTGTTTAAAAGCCTCTTGAGAGAACGTGTCAGTGTGCTTACGAGAGCGGCCATGGTGGTTGAATGTCGCGCCGAGAGTCCAACATTAGGGTCCTCAGGGTTTTTTCCAGTGGCTGCTTCGGCAGCTTTCAGGAGACAAATGTAATTTATGACCACTTCATCGATCTTCCCTACAATTTCCTGCCGCTGTGTTTCTGAGTTCACGACTTTAACTAATCGCATGCAAGCTTCCGTTAGGCAACAGAGCACTTGAAAGCTGGAAGTCATAGCTAGGAGCATCTCCTCCGGGCTTTTCTCAGCCATCGCCATTTTCCTACAGGCACTTCCCAACTGTCTGGACTCGATGGATAACAGTTGCTTGTACTGAGAAAGTGTAAGGTCATACGCTTCAGGGCGTGACTCCTCTCTCTTCTCCTTGGTTGCCCTGACGAGACAGAGCAGCTCATTGGCATCATTTTGGGCTGCAAGGAACCCATCAGGCATTGCATATGTGCTCTCCTTTAGGGCATTTATTCTTGCAATCCGGGCATCAAAAGCCAGGTTGCTGAAGTCCAAGTCATCTGGGCCGCTCAGGTCTTCTGCCCAGACCTTCAGCACTGACCCTCTGGATAGCTCCCCTCCTTGCTTCTGAATCCCCCCCGCAGCCACTCGTGGGCTGCTTGTTTCTGGCATGGCTTGAGTCATCTGTGGTCTATAGAGGCAAGAGACCTGTACGGTGGCCTCTCCCCTCTCTTCCTCCTCCTCACCATCTTCATCCTGCCCTCGGTTCAGGAAGCAATAGCTGAAGGGTCCCCGACATCTCCAATTGCTGCCGTCCAGCTTCCGCAAGGGTAATGTCCTATACAGCTTTGAGTCTTTAAGAGCCACCGGGGACCTTTTGTGAAACCTCCCCTCAGAGCTCAAGTGCATCAAGCTTTGGGAAAAACTTTTGGTGAGCTTCCTCCCCAGGGGGAGTTCTGCTCGCCTTTCAGAACTGGCCTCCTGTGCTTCTGTGATGCCTGGACACTTTAAGCTGACTGCACCCTTGGTTCTTTCTCGGAAGGTCTCCAAATCGACAGATCCGGAGAGGATACTGCTGCTATGTCTTAGAGCCTTCTGGCTGGGGGGTGTCCTGAGGCTCCCCCCTCTCAGATCCAGTGGCCGCCAGCTCACAGCCTCTCCGTATGCCTGATTTGCTTGGGAGAAATCATTAGGGTCTTGATTTGGAATTGGCACCTTGGATTCCGAGTGAATATTTGATGGTAGCAGGATGGGATCAGCTTCAGGATGTTGAGACCAAGCTGAAGGCATGCCTCCTCGTCTTTCCTTCCCAGGCTCTGTCAAAGCTACACTAGGGGTAGTAGAAAAACAGAGAGAATCATTAAGCATCTCCTGTGAGGCCACTTTTACATCTCTACATGATGTCTGTCATTCCCAAGGATGTAGTCTGGAAGGGCTGCCATATACCAAGGTCACCCTGCTTTCCAAAGATTGCCTCTTGATACCTCATAGCAAATTTCCATTTTAATGAATATCAAAATACTGGAATCTGTTATTTCTGGAACTGATGATTCATTTGGAATTGTCTAGAAGTCCCAAACATTTTCAAGGGGACAATGTTATTTCATGAATTGCCTTGCTCCCAATATCTACCTTTCAAAGTTTAGACACAGAAGACACAGATCCTATGTATAGATTATTCAAATATATTGAAGATATCAAGTTTCATTTCAAGGGAATTAGGTTAAACCTGCCATCAGTTACTTTCTCCTTTTTAAAGAAGTGGGCTAATTAATGCAAATGAAATAAACAAATCTTTTAAAGAGGAGAGAGTATGAGGTTTGCCTGGTACAAGGTCTGAAGTTAAGATACTGGGCCAGTTGCTCAATTTTTTTCTTTAAGAAAAGCTGTGATGTGAAGCAAATAATTCCTGTCTCACAAAATTTTTGTGACAAGCAAGAGGTAACTCAGGTGAAAGTTCTTTTTAAACCATGAAGGATTAAATAGTGTGATTTCGTTAGTTTAGAGGTAAAGATGCAGTTGGGGTGATGACATAGGTAACATTTACAGATAGCTTTTCCAAGGCAGGTAAAGCCAGTGGTGGGTTTTCAGAGAGTAGAAAATCTTAAAAGAACAGGAATAGAAAATGACGAACTCAAGATCTCACTAACTTGTATTGACCTGTATGAAAAAGACACTATTGATGACATAATTTGAAACACGGAAGTATGAAAGAGTATCTGTTTTTGCCATGTGGTGGCCAGCCAAGTGGATCAATGAGGGGAATGCGTGCCATTTAGTGGTGGGATGGTGAAGGTGGGATACAGAAGGTGGATGTGTTGTTTCTACATGTGTTTATACTTTATTATTTTGGGGAAAATAAAGCAGCTCATCAGGCATAACCTCAACATCTTCCTGACATTGGAGTATGTCAGACACTTCAGAACATCCATTTAGGGCAATCTTACAGAGTAGGGAGCAATCAGTAAGGTTGCTCAAAGGGAAATGAGCTCTCCAAACCCCTCTAGTCTCCCTGATACCCTGTTCTCTTATCCTTCCTTGTGGCTCAATAATGGAATGGCAGAATTAGAAATCAGATGTCTTGGGAAGAAAATCAAACTGTTACGTGACTCTAAGCAATACTATCATATAGAATCTGCATTTAGAATTTAGGAAAAACATATTGCCCCATCAAATTCTGAAAGCAAGCACAGAGCAAGATTATAAAGAGCAAATACCATTTTCAGTTTTATAATCTTTAGTATTTAATACCAGGGGATCAAGGATTGGTACTTTACAGTTCTGTGGCCTTTTAAAATTCTACCTTTTACTTTTCTTCCAGACTTAGTTTTTAAGTTTGTTGTAAATACGGTGCTAAATAAAATAAAGTGCTAAATCCATCATGGCTGTACCTGTGGTTTCCTTAATCTTGGGGAGCCGATGGCATCCATCTCTCAATGTGCCAAACAGGGGTTCGGTGTTAATGGCTGTGTGCAGAGCAGGCACTGTCATCCGTGGACACATCCCTTCTGTCTGTGGGTGCAGTTCCTTAAAGGTGGCTCCATGGTTGGGAAGCCCAGGGGCTCGCTCCTCTGAAGGAATGTAATTCACACCTTTCCCAGAAGTGTCAGGAATCAAGTGCTTCCCCAGGGAGGGACAGAGCGGCGACTCCACGGGTGTGGCGCAGGCGCTGCCACTGCTGCCCGTGCCACAGCCTGCATCCACTGAAGAGCCTTGGGAGCTCTGCAGAGAAAAATGGCCCTCGCTTTGCAGCGATGACATCCGCTTGGCTAAGTGGTAGTCGCAAAGGCGGGCCACACTCTCATCAGCCTCAGGAAGCTTGGAAGGATGGTCGCAGGTGGACGAGTCAGCGTCCTCTGGGTTATCTAAGTCTTTGGCTGAAGATGCACAGGTCATGTCAGTTAAGAAGCGGTCCCCTTGACCAAGTCCTGAGCCATCACTGGCCTCTCCATCAGGAGCTCCTTCTTCCTTCCCTTCGGCCTCCCTTGCCCCAAGACCAGAAGCTCTTGGAAAGGTTTTCCCCGATGTTGCTTCCAATCCACTTTTTTCAGCCATCCCACCTTCAGCGGTCACATACCATCTTTGACTGTCCTTGCGAAAGGCAGTTCTCTCCAGATTAAAAGTGCTCAGGTGTTGACTGTCTCGTGAAGACACAGTACCAAATTTACCACTGGCATCCTCCTCCATCTCTGCTGTTTTGGTCCCCTGTTTTTTTCCTGTTGTGTTCGCATTAGGGGGTGCCTTCCCCTCACCATCGGCCAGCTTGCTTTTCCTTTTGCTAGTGCAGGAGTATGCCACCGACCCCATGTGCAGTTTGCTGAAATAGTCAGTGACTGACTTAGTCTCCATGGTTTCAGGCTCCATCTCCATGTGGTCTGAGTGAAGTAACTGCTTGGAAGGCACAACTTTGGGTGGGAGGTCGGTTGCTGGCCTAGCAGCCAGGGCATGTGAGGACTTTGGAGGTAAGCCCCCAGCGGGGGTTTTGGAGGCCGGGAACTCAGTCTGTTCTTCTGCAAGAGGGTGGTAGCCTTCGTGAGTGGCCAAGAACATGCGGGAGAGGTTTTCTGACTGTTTTTGTGCTGTGGCCAGTTCAGAACTCTCAGTCATTTCAGAAGAGTTAGTTTCATTGCCTGAGTCTGACGAAGACTCAGGACTATAAGCCCGCAAGATGGCTACACCTGCATGCCGTAAAAAACAAGAACTGATTAATGGATGCATCAGAGGCAGTTGGAGACATGTAAGAAAATGGGACTCGTTATTGTTAAAACAAAATACCAAGTTTTCCCTTTTCAGTAAGGACTCTGAGTTTATTGCACAGTTGTTCCAGAAATGGGGGAGAGATGTGCCTTATGTTTTTTTTTTTAAAAAACAAACAAACAAAAAAACAAAGGAAATCACATACACACACAAAAAAAACCCATGATGGTAGTTTCAGCACATTTATGAAACGGGACATATGTGAAATGGAGAACACCACGTAACAGGACTCCAAGGGCAAATGGCTTGGAAGGATGGAATGATATGGTTATCAGTGAATGAATGTAACAATTGTGAAAGAACCTGAATTGTCACTGGTCTGCTGTTCTTCTGACACGGATAGAGCCTCTAGAGCTCCCAGCGTGGAGACGACGGCATTATCCAGTCCCTTCTCACACTTGCCTTCAGTGCTGGTGGGCATAGCGTCAATGAGGGACACGGGGATCTCATCATTTTGCAGGCTGCTGCCTTTCTCTTTGTCCTCGGGGAAGGAAGCTGCCTGGGTCTGGGAGTCCTCTTCATCTGAACTGTCTCTAAAGCCAGGTGGGGGTGCGGCAATGGCCATGTTCAAAGAACGCAACAGGAAGTCATCCTCGTTGTCATCACCTTCTGGAGGGGGTAGGGATGTGAGGTCAATGATGTCATCACTTGACCCAGACAGGTTGAGGATGGCCGGCTGGTTCATCTCCCCCACCACGAGGTCCTCCTCACAGCTCACCTCGTCCTCGTCCTCTGCGTCATCGGTGTTTTCTGCGTAACAGATGTCGTGCAAGAGGGGCTCCTCAATCCCCTCTGTGGCCTGGAAGCTCTTCACATCGCCTATGTTTGCATACACAGAATTTTCCACAAACTGGATGCCCTCTGCATCTGGAGTGAGATCCAGGCCTTTCATGTCATTGGCACTGCCGATGTAGAGATTTCTCTGCTTCTCCAGCATTTCAGGACTCTCATCTAGTAGTGTTTCATAGCCAAGAGTTGGGGGACTAATACCATCATCCAAGGCGAAGTCTCCAAAAATAAAGGACACTTTAGCTCCTCTCGGAGATTCCTGTGCTTTCTTAAGAGTTTCTGGTCCTGAGAGGGTCAATAGGGACCGCTGAGCTAGACTTCTATAGTCCGCCTCACAGGGGGCCTCCCCGGGCTGGCTCAGCTGCTGGTTAAGTCCATCTGAACTATAGGCGTTGTCTATGTACAAGTGCCGGTGCTCTTTTGGACACATGGTGCTGTCTGTGATCTCCACCGCCTTCTGCTTTGAATCTATGTATGTTATCTGGGCTTCTTGTTCCCCTTCGCCAATAAAGGTTGTCATTTGGGGTATACAGTTCCAATCTGGACCAAGGAGGTTATGCTTCCCCTTGTTTTCAGTTCCTGAAGAGAAAGAATCATGCAAAGACACATTACTGTGCTGTCTGGTTCTGGGTGGAGGGCGGGGCTCGTCTCTGTTTTTTAATTTCATGCCTTGTAGCATCACTTGTGTAAATACAGGTTTACAGCTACCCAAATATAGTACTTGTCAATTCCGGTGTAAGAATTCCTTGGGTTAGGAGAACCGACCTTAACAAAATTGATACTGCATATTGATACTGCATAAACGAGAATTGCTATTTGATCAAATGTAATATCATCTGGGGGTAGGGAAGTATAGCTTAATTCCATCTAACCCTTGGTTCTATTATTAAAAGGCTTCATTTATATCTATGAATGTGAATATACAACGTGCCTTTTACAACCCTTAAAGGTGAGATTTCAGTAGGCTGTTATTTCAGAAAATAGATTTTCCTTTTGTTTGTAAAGTGAGATCTAATATTCCCTAGTTTGTGGAAGAAGATAATGAATGTTTTCCTCACTGAGTTCACAGATGGTCAAAGATTGTCACAGCTTTACCATATATTTTTTTAGGAAATTAACATACATATTATAATGATCCTATAAAACTTCTATCTTCAGTTTTTTGATATCCTAGTGGATGTTAAAATATTCATGTATAAATGTCAGTATGCATGCCTGTGTGTGTATGTATATAAAATGCATAAGGTGGAGTGGTTACAGGTAATGTACTTTGCTCTGTAATTTCTAGGCATAATTAATATTTAGATTTTCCATTTTTATTTGTATCATGGGAACTCTTGAAGATTTGATGTTCCTCATGAATTAAAATGACAAAACCCCAGTTGAAATACTATTATTGTGTTTGCTCTTCAAGGGTGTTTCAATCTGGGATTTTGATGTGGGGATTTGCTCTGATATTTAACAAGACAGAGAACTAGGTCATTCTGTTGATACTGCCTTGTAGATTCCAGAGGCACCATTCTGAGAAAATTTTAGGGCCATACTATTCTCCCATCTGTTCCCTCATATAGCACAAGTTTGTGTAACTGACATCAGATGCGCAAGACATATGGGGGAAAAGTACAGCTTTACCAAAGAGGTTTCTTCTCCCCACAAATCATGCAATGGACTTAATGCTGAACAATTCTCAGGGTCATTTTAACAAATTCATGTATTTTCATGAACAGTAAGAGATAAAATTTTGAAGACACTGAATTATACACTGGCCATATTTGCATCTTACCTTATAATAAATAAACCTTGTTGGGGGTTCAGCATTATTTTATTAAAAACAACAATTTAGATTATGACTGGGTGTGCCTGTGGGGCGAAGTGTGTGTGTGAGTGTGGATTGTTGCGGGAAGAACAGTAGTTCAGTAAACTTGCATCGTAAGGCAGCTTTAGACCAGGGCTTGGCAAACATTTTCTGTAAAGGCAGGCGCAGATGGTACATATTTCGGTTTTGTGGTCTAACCATTCAATTGAGCAACTACTCAACTTGGCTGTTTTAACATGAAAGTAGCCATAGATGCTACATAAACAAATGGGTGTATGGGTTGAATGGTGGCCCCCAAAAGATATGTCCACTCTGTGAATGTGACCTTATTTGGAAAAATGTCTTGCAGAGTTAAGGATCTTGAGATGAGATTATTCTTAATTATCTGCCTGGGCCCTAAATTCAACGGCAGAGAGAGATTTGGGCCACAGAGAAGAGGAGATGACCATGTGAAGACAGAGGCAGATACTGGAGTTACGCAGCTACAAGGAACGCTGGTGGCCACCAGAAGTGGGAGGAGGTAAGGAGAAACCCTCCACTAAAGCCTTTGCAAGGGAGAATGACCCTGTTAACATCCTGGTTTTGAACTCGTGGCTTCCAAAAGTGTGGGAGAATAAGTTTATGTTGTGTAAAGCTCCCAAGTTTGTGAGAATTTGTTCCAGCAGCCTTAGGAAAGTAAAACAATGTGCGGGGTTGAGTTCCAATAAAACTTTATTTGCAAGAACATGATTTGGCCCATTGACCATAGTTTGCCAACTCTGGTTTAGATGAACAAGAAAGCTGAATAGGTCAGCAGGCTGAAAGCAAGTTGATGGATACTTACTGAGACCCTCCTAAAACCCAGAGATGTATACCTATGTGTGGCCATGGATTTTGAAAGTGGTTAAAGGCTAATTTTCAGGATAGAGAAGAATACATGAGGGCTCTTTCTTATTGGAGATCTTGACTAAGGTCTGCGATCAATTTGAGGTCAGATGAAAATATGTGCAGCTGGGTGCGGTGGCTCATGCCTATAATTCCAGCACTTTGGGAGGCCGAGGTGGGTGGATCACCAGGTCAGGAGTTTGAGACCAGCCTGGCCTACATAGTGAAACCCCATCTCTACTAAAAGAAATACAAAAAAATCAGCTGAGTGTGGTGGCGGGTGCCTGTAATCTCAGCTACTGAGGAGGCTGAGGCAGGAGAATTGCTTGAATCCAGGAGGCAGAGGTTGCGGTGAGCTGAGATCATGCCACTGTACTCAGTCTGGGAGACAAAGTGAGACTTTGTCTCAAAAAATAAATGTGCTCAATCTGGCTTCTTCCCAGAAGGATCTACTGATTTGGCTTCCTGGAATAATTTTGGAGACGTGGAAGAATGTAGGTTGGGGGCTGGAATCTATTCTGTGGCCCAGTCTCCTACAGAGTGGAAGGAGAGAATGAACTAGGGAAGACCTAGGCTGATGGGACTTATGTTCTGTATTTCTTGACTCTCAGATCTTTTGGGAGTTTCTGAAGAGAAGAGTGCTATTAGCCATTAGAGTATGCTAGGCGAAGACTGCTGTTCAACCTAGGTGTCTCAGTTTCTTTTTGGAGTGTGCTCTCTTTCTCTTATCCTTGCTTCTCTCTCTCTCCACCTACCTCCAGCCCTCTGTCTTTGACAATGGGGAAAGGTATTTGAAACTGGGAGACATGATGGTGAGACTGAAGTCCCATTCTTTCCCCACAATAATAATACTTTCTGTTACTAAGTTTTTGCCTCTTGCAGTTCTATTAAACCTTATATTGTGGGTCACTATGAATCGTACAGAGTGGAGACCCTTATAACTGTAACCATGTTTAGAAGAGTAGGTTTGGATTTCTTCATACACCTCTACAATCTTTATAGTCCGTGAAGAAAGGACTGATCTTCAAGATAAACTTTACAGTTTGAAAATAAAAAGCCAAAAACTGGTTTTCCAATAGAAAACAATTGTGTCAAATTGCTGAACTGCTCTTTGGAATTTCTTTTCTTTTTTTAGAGACAGGATCTTGCTTTGTCTTCCAGGCTGGAGTGCACTAGTGTGCTTGGCTCAATAAAGCCTTGACCCCCCGGCTAATGTGATCCTCCCACCTCAGCCTCCCACGTAGCTGGGACGACAGGTGTATGCCACCACACGTGGCTAGTTTTTAAATTTTCTTTTGGAGATACAGGGTTTCACTTTGTTGCTCAGGCTGTTCTCAGGCTCCTGGGCTCAACTGATCCACCCACCTGGAACTCCCCAAGTGCAGAGACTACAGGCATGACCCATCGTGCCCAGCCTTCACACTGGAATTTAAAAGGTCAGCATTAAATTGCTCTAAATCTCCTAGCTCAATGAAAACCTGTGGTCATAAAAATGTTTGCTGCCTGTTGGGCATGGTGGCTCACTCCTGTAATCCCAGCACTTTGGGAGGCAGAGGTGGGCGGATCACAAGGTCAGGAGTTCAAGACCAATCTGCCCAACATGGTGAAACCCTGTCTGTCTCTACTAAAAATACAAAAGTTAGCTGGGCATGGTGGTACATGCCTGTAATCCCAGCTACTTGGAAGGCTGAGGCAGGAGAATCGCTTGAACATGGGAGGTAGAGGTTGCAGTTAGCAGAGATCACACCATTGTACTCCAGCCTGGGCAACAGAGCGAGACTCCATCTCAGAAAAAAAAAAAAATGTTTATTGCCAAACCCAGTGAATACCTGTCACCTCCTTTTTATTCTTTCCTTTTCTATATTTTTATATTTTTGAGACGGTCTTGCCCAAGCTGGAGTGCTGTGGCGCAATCGCCACCTCCCGGGTTCAAGCAATTCTTTTGCCTCAACCTCCTGAGTAGCTGGGACTACAGGTGCATACTGTCATGCCTTGCTAATTTTTGTATTTTTACCAGAGGTGGGATTTCACCATGTTGGCCAGGGTAGTCTCTATCTCCTAACCTCATGATCCACCCACCTCGGCCTCCCAAAGTGCTGGGATTACAGGCGTGAGCCACCACACCTGGCCTTCTGTATTTATTTGTAAATGTTTATGTGTTTCTATCACTTTTTAATTTTTAGAGGTGTAGTCCTATCTCACTACAGCCTTGACCTCCTAGGTTTGAGGTATCCTCCCACCTCAGCCTCCTGTGTAGCTGGGACTACAGGCGTGTGCCACCACACCTGGCTAATTTTTATAATTTTTGTAGAGACGGGGTCTCCCTTTGTTGCCCAGTCTGATCTCAAACTCCTGTGTTCAAGTGATCCTCCTGCCTCAGCCTCCTAGTATTGGGATTATAGGCATGAACCACTGCACCCAGCATCTATCTCTGTCATTCTCAGTTCTTTCTGCCACTGTTTTTCTTTCACTGCCAGTTATTTATAGAGTCATTTTAGATGATGTACCTAGATGTTTTTTTCTAATCCTTGCAAGCTAATTTTTTAATCCCATTTTACAAATGAAGAAACTCAAGCTCAGATTGATTTGACTTGAAAAGTCCAAGTGTTGCCTTCTAACATGGTTTGTCCATCTCTCCTTGTTTCTGGCTTCCTTTTTTCTATGCCTGAGCTGCTTCCACTGACTGGCCATCATAGTAAACTGTGTGTGGGTCTGTATGCATGTGAGAGTGTGTCTACACATTGCAATATATTTATGGAATAAAGGTTGATGTTTCTGCTCAGTTTAACAGTGAGAGAATATCCTTCTCTTTTTTCCTCCCTTCATTTTCTCTGAGAAATGCGGGGTTGAGGGGGAGAAAAAAAGAGATGCAACAGTAAAATTTGTTTTTAAGAATCCC